TATACATATATATTGAAAGTGGTACAACAATATGTATATATATTCAAGGTGTTGGAAATTGACAATTCCACTGGTAGAATTACTACCACTAATTGTCACTTGTGTTGAAACTAGGGAAAAAAATACATGATCTCATGTAATTAGATGTTACCATTCATTTGGCTCTGTACGATTACAGAAATAAGCCACAATTTTTTTTTTTTTTTTTTTTTAGTTGACTTGTCTTCTCCTTTGTCAAAGTTAACGAATGAGACCTAGTGTTGCAAAACAATTTACTATGAGAAAATACTGCCACCTGGAGATCGGAGGCAAGCATGACTACGAGTAAACAGAGCCCTAGTTCTACAACGGGAAATACGCCCTGGTGATGCTTGATTTCATGCCATTATGCCACTGGGCAGCATATGAGCCTAATTTCTCCTCTGTATTCATTCACTGAGAACAGCTTGTATCATAAGCAGACATCGTGCTAGACTCTGAACATAAACATATGCAACACCTAATTCCTTCCTTCAGCAGCTAACAGACCAGTGTGAAAGAGGCAGATTACCAGATATTGTCTCAGACTAAGATTTAAATGCAATTAAATTTCACCCTACCTTATATAGCAGCAAGCATCTCCCTCTAAGATTACTGAGTAGAAAGAGGTTTGTCATTTTCCCAGAAAGCTCAGCTCCTGCCTTGTTGGACACAGAGCAAGGTAAGACTCCCTTACATCTGTACCAAAGATGTGGAATGCAAGTTTTTCTCTTTAACATCTAGAACCACTTATTCATGGAAAGCATTGAGCCTACAAAGGATTTTTCTCTTTTCTGTACAGGGGACTGAAGCCAACCTTTCTCTTTGAGCTACATCCCCAACGGTCTTCTTTTTACCCAGGGTCCTGCTAAATTATTAAATTGTCCATGTTGAGCTTGAACTTTTGATCCTCTAGCCTCAGCCCACAGAGTGCTGAGATTATAGGCACGCAGCATCATGCCTGGCTTTTGTCTAGTTACTTACAAAGTTTCTCATATAAAAGCATTATGCCCTATGTCTAAAAAGAACTATTTTAAAGCTGCAAATTTCAACAATCTGATGAGTTATAGTAAACCTGTTTCTCAAATTAGGTATTCTTAGAATCAACAATGTTTAGATGTCTTTAGTACAGTTTAAAGACCACAGTGTGAACTTTTATTCATATAAATTTAAAAATTAATTTCACAAAAACAAAAAAGTACAGTTCTTCAATTCTTATTCAATAGAAACATTCCTGTTTTACTTGACCTCTATGAGTTTCAAACATATTTATCTTGACTAGGTGTAGTGGTGCAAGTCTCTAATCCCAGCTACGAAGGAGGTTGAGGCAGGAGGATCCCAAGTTTGAGACTATCCTGGGCAACTGAGTGAGACACTTTTAAAAATAAATACATAGGGCTGGGGAGATGGCTCAGTGGAATAAGTGCTTCCCTGGCAAGCACAAGGGCCTGAGTTCAATCCCCAGTTCCGCCAAAAAAACATAAATAAATAAAAAAATAAAAATATATAAATGGCTGGGGATGGTGGTGCACACCTGTAATCCCAGCACTCAGGAGGCTGAGGCAGGTGGATGACTGTGAGTTCAAGGTCAGCCTGGACTACATGGGGGTGGAGTTTAAGGTCAGCCTGGACTACATGGGGGGGGAGAGAGAGAGGGGGAGGGAAGGAGGGAGGGGGAGAGAGAAGAGGGGGGAGGGGGTAGAATGAGCGTTTTAAACCCCAGCATCAAGGTTCTCAATCTCACATCCCCAAACTCAGCCGTATGTGCACCTATGCCTGTGCCTACACAACTGTCACTGCTTATTATGGCTGCACAATCAGTAACGTGTTGCCATCATTTCAGGAGACTAGAGGAGGCCCTAGCCTCGGCCAAGGGGTTGTGAGGCAGGAAACTAGTGCCGGGCCCACTGGCTGGGAAAGGCGTGGCCTGTTAATTACAAAGCCCCAGGGCACATGCGCAGAAGGCTCCCCAAAGCCCTGGGTGTGTACTTGTGAGAGCCTGAGGGTGGCTTAGCCTGACCAGCTGAAAGATGAGAGATCCAAGTGTGAACGCACCACTGAGCTCAGGACCACCGGGTTCTCTCTCCACACTGATCTGCTCTCACGCTGCACTTCTGCTTTAACTGGGTCCAAGCTCACGCTACAGAACATGTTTCTTTATCCACAGTCAATAAACAAAAAAACTCCCTACCTTTGGTTACTTGTTTTGTACAATTCTTTGTTCAGGACAATAAGAAGCAAGAAACTATCTCTAGAAGCAGACCTCAACACCCCCCAAACCCAGCAACAGATTTTTTTGTTTTGTACTTCAGACTGAATCCAGGACCTTTGCATCTAGCTATGTCCCCAGCCCTTTTTATGTTGCGCCAGCGTCCTGCTAAGTCACTGAGTTATCCAAGCTGGACTCCAATGTGCTGTCATGCAGCCTTGCCCCCCAGAATACTGGGATTACAGGTGTGAGCCACCACCACGCAGGCTCAGTCTGCGTTCCAAATAAGCTTCATGCTACATCAACAAATGTGTTGGGAAATCCCTGCTTTGTGTTCTCCCCTCTTCCCTCTCTCCGCTCCTCTCCTTTCCTCCCCTTTTCCCAGGCCTCTCATACTGAAGGCTGTTCCCACAGGTTTTGCTCAGCTGCCTCTGGTACTCCATAGTGTTGCTACCAAAAGCACTCCAAAGGTCTAGCCAGGGAGGGAAAGCCGGCAGGCATGGTATGGAAGCGCAGCCTCTGTTTAACCAGATTCTATTCCAAGAATGTGAAGATACTGTGATGATAAATCATCTGCACGTCTTGCTCATAATCATTCACCAATTTGATCATTAGGCTTTCCCCTAAAAAAAAAAAAAAAAGGTTGCTGGGTACGTTGTATGCCTATAATCCCAGTACTTGATAGGCTGAGGCAAGAGGATTCTTGCCAGCTCAAGGACAGCCTAAACTGCATAGAGACTTCATTTCAGAAACTTATTTATTTAACTAATTATTTCTTACGCAGCCCAGGCTGGCCTCGAATTTGCAGTTATTCTCCTGCCTCAGCCTCCCTGGCGCTAAGATTACGGGGTGTGCGTCACCACACCCGGCCGCTCTGTGCTTTTAAAAAAAGACCAAGGCAATTCTGAACACCGAGGGCCGTGTGAGCGCACCCCATGCTGGGGGTCCTCTTCGCTCTGCCTCGGCGTGGGCGCGGCTTCCTCACCCGCAAAGGCGGGAGAAGCGCGGCGCACCCGAAAGCGCCCCTCCTCAAGCCCACGCTGGGAAGGCTGCCCAGGCCAGGACACGAAGCTCGGGGGTCTTCTCTCCTTCAGGCCACGGCCTTCTCTCCCAGCCAGAAGCTCCTTCTCCAGGGAAGAACTGCGGCACAGGCAAGGGCTGGACACCGGACCGCAGCCTTTCTAAGTCTCTGAGCTCTCATTTCTAAAACGGAGATATTTCTGAGACACCGCTTGGAACTGTAGCGACGTTTACCAACAAGGTAAAGTCAGGCGCCCGAACAGTTGCTATAAACGGCACTAGTAACAGAATCGCAGTTCCGGGTTCCGGTTCCCAACAGAAGCGCGATTTTCGAACCGTCTTCTCCACTTCTTCCACCAGTTCAGCAGCGAAAGCGCCGGACATTCAGGAACAATCAGGAAGCTGTCGCCATGGCTACGCCCCGCCCCCACGCCCGCTCGAAGAGCATGCCGGGAGTTGTAGTTTCATAGAGCAGCTGACCGACGGGCAGGGCCAGTTCCGGGGGGGGCACGACACTCACCATTCCTGCGCTCACCGCACTCTGCATCACTCCCTGCTTCAAGGCCACAAGACCTAAAGTTAAATGCCAGGAATGAGTCCTCTTTCCCACGGCTGTGTGAGTTACGCCTGAAGGCAAGACAAGGGAAGTCATGCAGTGCCGAAAGCGAAGACGACTTCCGTGGAGTAGGAAGGAGCGCGGCTTCCGCCCCGGGAAGAGAAGCTCCGCCTCCTTACGTCACTTCCGTAAACAAAGGGCGCTGCGGAGACGCGGGTCAGGAGATGCGAGCCACGCTTTCGCGGCCGCTGCAGTGCTGCCTGCCTCTGCTTATCGCTTCCGGTCAGTTGAAGAACGGGACCCCGGCCTCCTTCTTCATCGGGTAGGTCGTGGAAGCCAAGGAACCCCCAGAGCCTCCTGTAGGCCCTTTCCGACGCCCACTGTGATTGCTGCTGGGTTCGGGTCGTGATGGGTCAGCGCTTCGGAAGATTGGGGAAGGACGCGGGGGTGATGAGAGGGCCCTTCGGGGTCCCGCCTGGAGGAGGAGCCTGGCCCCCCAAATCGGCGCTCCGTACCCGGGAGCAGCTCGCGCCTGCTCGGAAGTGCTCCCTGCTGATGGGCGCCCAGGTGTTCCTGGGAAGGATTTCCGTGTTTCCGAGACAGGTGTTCCTACTCAAACCGAGGACCCTGCAGCCCTGAACCCCTAGAGCAGCGTACTTTATTTTATTTATTTATTTATTTATTTATTAGCGTAATTTAGAAAGCACTGTTTAAAAAAAAAACCTGAATGGTTTAAAAAGTCATCAATTTCGTAGCGCAGTTTACAATCTGATAATTTTAATTTCTCATTTTACAAGTACATGAATCTGAATTTAAGAAAAATGTAACACTGTCCACAAAAAATGTAGGATTTTTTTAGATGGATGACTGTTGAGAAAATAAAACTTTAATTCATGAAATAAGGGCAAGGTATGGGGATAAATCTGAGGTCTTACATATATTCCCCGTGGAAGGGACTTCTGTGACTTCAGAGAACTGTTTCACTACAGGCAAACAACATAGATTGTTTTGTTTTTCCTCTACAAAAGTAGAGAAATTATATTCAGATTGGAGAGATTTGATTCTGTAGCACTTAATCTCAGACCTAGAATTAGCAGTATTCCTAGGAATGAACTGATTTTCTCTTTGGTGACATAACTCCTCTAGTTGCTGCTTCAGCAGTGATACATATTTGAATCTGGCTTGTTCTTCCTAACATACAATTTTTTTTTTTTTTTTTGGTACCAGCAATCGAACTCAGGACCTTGCACTTGCCAGGCAGGCGCTGTGCCACTGAGCTAAAGCCCCAGCTCCAAAATATGACATTTGTGGGAGACAGACCTAGCAGCCACCAGAAACTTGAGCCAGGCTGGGTTGTAATGAATGATTTCCTTGTTTATGTATTTACGTATCGTTCACTTTGTGCAGTGTCCATTTCTTGAGGCAAGTAACTGTCTTACCTGGTGTTTCTAGGGAGTCACAGTCCTGGCTGGCTTGTGGTACCTTCAGTAAATACTGACAGGATGAGTCCGTGAAGAAAATGATATTTGAAAGCGTCTACTAAACAACTAAGCTTAAGGAGTTCTTCTGCCTTTCTTGGATGACCTCTGAAATTCTTGACCCTCTTTCATTTTGTGGAATGGGTTTTTGCTTTCACTTTCCATATTATAGCACACGTATGTGATTGTTGTGTTTTTTCATGCAGGTGTTAAGAGGCTGCCCTCAGCGCGGCAGGGAACTCAGGACAATGGAGGAGCGGAAAGTGAAGAGGAGGAGTCCTAAGTCTTTTAGTGCCCACCCTACTCAGGTTGTTAATGCCAAAAAGAACGCCATTCCAGTCAGTAAAAGCACAGGGTTTTCAAATCCTGCAGCACAGTCAACTTCACAGCGACCAAAGTTAAAAAGGTAAATTTTGTCTTTCCTATTTTCACATTAAAGTACTATTAAATGCTTAATAGTAGTCAACTTTTTTTTTGCTGAACTCAGAGCCCTACACAGGCTCAGCAGTCAGGACCACTAGCTGCATCCCCAGCCCCGCGGCAACTTCTTAGAAAGGTCTTCATCTTGTCTTGGAAAGCAAGAGTTGTGTTGGGGGCCGGGGAGATGGCTCAGTAGAATAAGTGATTCCCTGGCAAGCACAAGGGCCTGAGTTCAATCCCCAGTTATGCATTAAAACAAACAAAAAGAGTCATGTTTCCCCTGAAAAATTATCAGAAAGCAAGTTTTCCTCTTGGAACAGTTGAATCAGATTTTTAATTAAATTATAGTTGGTAGAAAAACAAAGCCAAAAAAGCTTTAAAGGTACTTACTACTTTAAGTTCTTGATGACAATTGTATCCATCTCATACAGGGGATTGCACTGAGGTCACTGTAGTGGTGACCCTATGGCATACGTGCTGCTGCAGGCTGCTTATCATTGACAGCTCTAGAAGGTTTATCACCACTGCTCTAGCCCTTTTGTTATTTTTTAATAAAACTCAAACTGAACTGGCAATCCTGCTTCACCTCCTAGGATTACTCCTAAGATTACTCAGTTTTTTTTTTTAAACCTGGTAATTTTATTCGTATGTCTTCTTCTAGAATGTAAAGTTTGTTTGGGCAGGAACCACATTGATCATCATTATATGCCTGACAGTGTTTACAGTGGCAGCTACACATACTGTAATTTCATCACGCGTGGTTTTTGTTACTGAGTCGTTTTAACAAAAGGTGAGACGGTGTGACAATCAGAAGCAGGGGAGAAGGAATAAACCGGATTTTATCTTTGGTTTTCATTTGTTTATTTGAGGGTTATTAGATGATGAGTGGGTGTAAAACCCTTACTTGGGTTGAACTTCCGTATTTGAAAGGAAATAAGTATATTTGCTATATTGAAACCGTACAGTAAATGATGGTTTATTTCCTGTTTTAATGTGAGTACGGATTTCTTGGGGATCTTTTTGGAATGCAGATTCTCAAATCATTCAGTCTTGGATGAGGCTTCAGATGAGCATTGCTTTTTTTTGTTGTTGTTTAAAGTATCTGTTTGTTTATTTATTTATTGGCTACAGGGTCTCTCTACGCAGCTCAGAGTCATAGTGACCTTCCTGTCTCAGCTTCCCCAGTTCTGGGATTACAGGCATGCACTACCATGTCCAGTTTCGGTGGTCGCCATGGCATGCCTGGGATTCCAGGGCTGATACAGCATGTGGTAACAGGGATCAAACCCAGGTCCTTGCTGATAGGTTCTGGCCCTAGTATGAATCGCTGAATTATTATAGTGGTCATCTAATATGGCTGAAGCCCTTAAAACAACAGCTTATCTTCCCCAAGACCACCTCCCCCCATCTCCAACTTTGCCCAGGGTGCAGTTTCTTTTCACCTTTCCTGCTGCCTCCAGGAAGACCCCAGTCAGCTCCTCAGGTATATCTAAACATCCCTGGGCTGGTGAGATGGCTCAGTGGTCTAAAGCACCTACTTAGAACAAGCTTAGCAAAGCAGAGGGAC